ATGGAGAGAAAACTTTCCAAGAAGATACTTTTCAATATTAACCAATGCGTCATCTCGTTTCTTTCTACATAAACTTTCTCCTTAAACATCGAAGATTTATAATTAAGGCGTAATATCATGTATTACATCCAAATATATGGACTTTCGAGTTCGTTTTACCTTTGTCACGTGTGTGTGAATACCAAAAATTAATATTTGACGGTTATTCTTTGCTATTAATAAGGACATTCATAGCATCATCCTACACTATTACTACATAAACTTGTATTCTACTGCATTACCGATTTATTTTCTTAACTATCCGTGCTGGGTGTGCGACAGTTACCCATCCCAGACAGTGCGTGAGGTGTTGTGCAAGATTATGGATCGATTGAAGTAAGACATTTACACTGTTTGATACCGGTTTGGTGATGAAGAGGTTGGGCTCTCATGCGCAAGACCGAATGCCCATAGTTCGAGCCCCATTTTCAGGATCATGGACATGCATTACTCACGAGTTCAATAATAAGACAAAACGACCCTCTAGTACTTCCAGGTTTTTGATGGTGGTTTAGACTAGATTTTCTAGTACATTCGACTTAATTATCAATTAGCTCTTTGCGAATAATAGCCTACTTGCGCGTGCTCTTGAAGGTTGTAACTTTTTTTCACGTGGTACTATTTTATTTTCCTATCAGTTTTTCCCTTCAACTGAACATTTATTAGCGATAAATAATTCGTCACTGATAGGGTTCTATCAACTTGACACCTCATTTTGGAACTCAACGTCATACATTAATTTTGCTAGTTTTCACGCTATCTCTTTTCACTAATTAACCTTAATATATTTGTTCTTAACTAATACTGGATCTAATCCAACCATAGAGCGGTGCACGTCTATTAAGTTAAATTACAACTGTCGCTGTTCACGTAATTAAACTTTATATTTACATTGCTTCCAATAATTTCCGGGCCATCTAAAAAACACATAATCTCTCCTGATGCCTATGGCACCTTCAAAAGATTTAAATCAGTCACCAAAGCGAATAATGTGAAACATTATAAACACACTGATCAGTCTGCATCCTACTCTGATCTTCCTTCAGCCACACTAAACGTGCACCGTTTACTTGGGCATGACATATCACTGCCTTGTATCTCTCTTGTAGATATAAATAAGAGCAGTCACATGCCGTGAGAGTTGACATCATTTGTCAGTCCAAACAAGAGCACCACATGTTGTGAGCAGTATTTAGACAGTGCGGCCGACCCCTAACACCTAACAATTTTACAATCGGCCATACTGAGTAGCGGCCCACGGAGTGAATGTAAGCCTGCCTACAATAGCCAGCCCGATGAAGTAGATCTTGAGTACTCACCCAGACATGTACTCCATCCCCCAACTAAGTTTACACAAGGTGATCACCCGGTAGACCCTTGCAACAGGTCTGTATGTAACCATATCGACTTTAAAAACTTTGATATAAATTCCAATGATCTCATCACTGATAGATCTAAAAGCAGCCAAACAGAACTTAGCCTCACCCATACTATCCAGGACTTATTACCGTATAAATATTTAATCAGTGTTCCAGAAAATCCCGATTTAGAAATTATAAATAACATTGACCATATATCATCTGAAGCTTTGAAAAGACTTCAGTGTATGCAGAATGTCACTGTGTATAATATACCTGATAGTGAGGACGTAAAGATTGCTAAAAATACTCCATTACAAGAATGTGGATTGTCGCAATCTTAGTGTGTAACAAGAAGATTACATAAAGCACACACTAAAGCCTATTTCATTTTGGTAGTACTACTGAAGCTAATCACCTCCTCCATAGTCAGTCATTACTGAGGCGTATTCCAACATTTAAAAAGATTAGAATTATCCATGACAGGACTGCTATCCAGTGTCGAATCTTCAATGGAACACAAACTAATCAACCCAGCCTACGTAGAAGTTACACCGTTTGCCACTACACAAATCCTAAAACACTATACACTTCCCCTACTAAGAACGGAGGCACGTCGGATGCTGCTATTAGTCCTAAGAACAAGACTGCAGATAAAGCAGCTGCAACCATTAAAGCCTTGGACATGGTTAGTCACCAATTTCTTATAAATAAACTCGCATCTTATGGGGTTCGAAATCCTTCGCTAGCTTTGTTTGATTCCTTTCTCAGCAGTCGACATCAAATAATTAAAATTAACTCTTCATTGTTTAACGCTGTCTCTGTTAGAAGTGGTGTGATACAAGGTAGTATCTTAGGCCCTTTGCTCTTTTTAGTGTTTATCAATGATATTTGTGAATGTTGTTGTGTGAGTAAGCCCCTTCTATATGCAGGTGATCTTAAAGTAGTATATTCATTTTCCCTGCGTGAGCTGAAAACCTCACAAAAACTGCATCAGCATAGAGCTTAACAAGGTAGCACAGTGGTGTTTAAAATGGCAACTGGTGCTTAATACGGCTAAATGTGGATATGCTTCGACGATACATCTCTCAACCTAAACCTTACCATAAATAAAGAAGTGTTGTATAGGTTACATACAGTAGTAGACTAAGGACTTAGATACTCCCAAGACTTGTCGTTTACAGAACAGATATTGAAACAGATCTCTAAGTCTCAACGTCTTGTAGGTCACATAACACAAAACCTTTATAACAGTGAGACACGTATTTTAATGTACAAAGTTTGTGTTTGACCACTTCCATAATACTGCACGTTTACTCTTAGCAGTGCGCGCATAAAGGATAAATTAAGGCTGGAATCAGTACGGAGACAATTTACACTTCGTATTCTTGAAGCTGATTGTACCTTAACTTATAATTCTAGATGTAATAAACTTGGGCTAAACCCTATATGGAAGAGAAGACTCAAACTAAATCTTATCTTTTTCATCAAACTACTTAATAAACTATCCTTTACATCCAATCACGTGATTAAATATGCAGAAACTTCTTATTATAACACCCGTAATTTTTTGGCACTAGTGAAACAAACTTATTGTAAATAATCGCTTTATGTGAATTACTTTACCTGTAAATTTTGTAGACTCTAGAATAACCTATCACAATCTATCCGTACGATAAAATCACTCCCATTATTTGTTCGCTGCATACTGGCCCTCTGAAAATGCATTACATGTTATAGCACCTGCAAGTGTATCTCATTCCACAAGTGATATACTAGGAACTTTAAATATTTGGCCATCTTTATTAATGCATTCTCTAAGTAAAACCACCTACTTGCTGTCACTTTATGTGAACACCGCCCCTAGCAACTTTAAATAGTTTGAATAATATCTAACATCAACAGTGTATCACTGTGTCACATGACACATGCATTTTGTTAGACCTGATTGGCATATTTTGGTACTTACCGCTTAGTTATTCCGTGCTCTCTGTTTTCGTTTTAATTTCTCTAATTGTAGATAACTATCATTAATTCGATCTGGCACACGAAATGACCTTAATTACACCGCTCATAAATCAACAGGGTGTCCATCTAAGAAAAATTAAAAGTTCCCGGCTGATGCATTGGAACGCTGTAATACATGTACTACCTAAACAATTACTGAACTAGTATACTTAAAACTTTCTTCTATCACATGTTTGTTCTCTACATCTAATGTTACTATTTATAACAAACTGGTCATGCCTGTAAACTGGCGTGAACTATGTAATTATTATTTTCAGAATATATAAAATTATTATCATCACAAGACCCTCAAAAGTCACGGGGTCCTCGAATATATGATGGCCTACGTGACTAGTTATTATCCACAAACGTTTCACACCGACAGCATGGTTCCAGGAAAAATTACTCTTCTATAAACAACCTCCTAACCGTGATGGACAGATGGACATCTACCCTTGATCACAAAGTTGTGGTTAATGTCATATACCTTAACTTCTCAAAGGCTTTTGATAGAGTCAGTCATATATGCCTCGTGAAGAAGCTAGATCAATAAGCACCAATTAACTGTTAATTAACTGACTTGCTTCATATCTGAATAATCGACGTTTTGGGGTCAGGCTAAACACCACTTTCTATCAGGCTGTAGAATGTTCTGGTGGCGTCCCTTAGAGTTAAGTACTAGGACTTCTTTTCTTGATTTATATAGACGACGTTGGAGAAGTTTGGGATCAAGTTGATGAGCCGGTACTTCAGGAAGATCTGACTCGTCTTTAGAGTTAAGAGGATAACACCGGGCTCACTTTCAACTCTTCGAAATGTAAAGTAGCCCATCTGAGACATGTTGCAGACTACGCATACGACTTAGGTCACTCTCCTCCAAAGGCATCCGAAGTTGAATATCTCGGAGTGTTGGTACCCTATGATCTGAAGTCATGTGCTAACTGTGAAAACAAGGCTTCAAGAAGACCTTGCACTAAAAACGTTGATGAGCATTTTCGGAGAGTTCGACGGTAGAACTTGACACTTGTTTTCCATCAGTTTTATTTGACCAAATTTATAGAATGCTAGCATAGCCGTTCCTCCCTCACTCCAACAGGATAAGGACATGTTGGGACTTATAAAACAGCGAGCCTTCAACTCGTTTCGGGGACTCAAATGTAAGCCTTTTAAAGAACTCATTAGGGTGTAATCACTTGAAAGGTAACCTATTAGTGACTTATAGCACCCTGAATACTCCTAGACACTTTTGAATACCTACTTATGCACAGTTTCAACATACACATTAGGGGTAACACACATAAACTAGAGAAACAACGTAGCAGAACAGATTTCAGGCACATCTTCTATTTCCTAAGAATAGTCAAATACTGGAATTCTTAACCGGCTGGAGTAGTTCAAGCTATTTATCAAGAGTCTCTTAAGAACAAAATTGACATGTTACAAAGGACTTGAGGCAGTATCTCACCATAATTTACAAACACGTCTCTTTTTATCATTAAGTATACCTAGGTTCCTATCTGGGGACATTGGCGATCCACTACCACTAAACACAGAAGCCCGTTAAGCGAAAGTTTTTTATATTCTACCAAGGACTATTTTGAACCATTTGACTATTATCTTTGTAAGCAATTTTAAAGCGCTAAAAATTAAATAAGAAGGTCATCAGCTATAAGCGTATTTAGCTATGAGAAATGGTATATCATTTTGGCCAGTTAACTATGAGCACAGATTTTTTGGATAATACCAATTTTGTGGGTGACTGCGTATGTGTATTTTTATATCAAAGCCAAGTGTGATGATCCAGCAATGACTAGGGTTATGATTGTCTTAGGATCTGGTAATGTTTATTTCATACTTTATGTTAGGTGGACACACTGCTGAAATGCTCTCGTATACTTCTGTATTGACTTGTAAATTTCAACCACGTTTGTATGTTATCGCGACGACTGATTCTATGAGTGAACAAAAGGTTTTGGATTTAGGGGACAAGTGTGATATTAAAGTTAGTCTCAGTTTTGTATTACAAATCTCTAGTTCAGCATAAAGCGCATACCAAGGGCTCGAGAAGTAAAACAGTCATACGTTAGCAGCATCTTCAGTACCTTAGTGTCTTGTCTATCTGCGTTCCCCATCGTCACAATTTTTAGGGCGAAATTGGTGAGTTACAGAAACCTTTATTAACATTTACACATAATGGTCGATGTAAACTAATATTTTAACTGATTGCTAGGGCCAGATCCTTCTTAACGCGTAACGTATTCATTGGCATAACTATTTGTTGCCGGAAAGGATCGGAACTTTTCGAGTTCCTAGGTCATTGATTTGCCATGAGTAGCTGCAATGCTTACCGCGTTTAGCGTAAACCCGTGTGCTTTTGCCGAAACGCACCTTTAATCATTGCCTAAAGTGTAGTGTTGTAATTAATGCCACATTTATTTACTTCATACCTCGCAAATTTACGACTTTTTGTGGAATACCTATATTACAAACACCATTTATTAGTTGCTTCACCTTAAATATAATGGTGCTCAAGAGATGGTTTGACCTTGTTCCCAAATCAAGACACAAAAATTCCGGAAAGACAAGTATAAACACCCAATAAAGTTATTGATTTTCTATGAAGGATAAATTTTTGTAGGGACTTTTAGTTGATACCTAATTGTACTTTATTCTAGAGTGTTTGTATAGGATCAAAAACAGTTTTTCGTGCTGTAAGTGACTAAGACTACTGTCTTATAGTCAAGGGGAATGCGTGAACTCCTTTCAAGTTTAGGGTTGATATAAATTGTTTAGGAGCTCGAAGTATGTAGACTGTCGCATCCCTTCTACTTTTAACAGTTTTACTCTCCTTCATAAATTTTCAGTAACCAGATGTAAATGTCTATCATCGTAATTTTATTGACGGAATTCTCCAGTATTAATATTCCAGCCAACACTATGTGGAGTCTTTTTTACTAGCTCAATATTGTCCTCAGCTCAAATAAAGAAACTCCGCTATATGTGTAGTAGGTTTAAAAAATGTGACTACTAAATGTTTCTTCGGCAACGTTCGACACTTGGTTTTCTACATTTTATTCGTTCAGTAAAAAGACAATTGTATCCAGCTAATTAAGAAGACAAGAATAAATAATGCAATTGTAGTTTTGAGTGTGCTTAACAAGTCTCAGTCACCTTGCTCTGTTGTCTCACCATAATCAAGCAACGACTTAAAGATAGATGTGATCGATTGCTGACAACCTATATATCAGATTTAGAGGGAAGCCATATTACTATGGACAATCTTGCATGCATTCATCAATGAGTAATAAGTAATCCATTTTCCGATTTTATAAACTGTTGATATCAGTTAATAGGTACAGTCAGATATAACTCACTGTCATAAAATTTTGTTATTAGTTCTTTCGTACTGTTCTGCCTTTTGTTTACTGATTCTGGTGTGCGAAGACCTCTAGGAACAAATTTTTTAGCCAACTCAGTCAAGTAGATCACAAAAGTGAATTGGGCCGCTAATTTAAGCTAACTGCTGTGATTAAATAGGTACTAGTTGATTAAATAAAAGTCATCATTCGTAATCTGGACCAAATTAAACTTTCACACGACTATGACTTACAAACTGTAGTTGCTCAGTGCGATCAATTATCCTTATTATGACAATACATGGATAGTTACTGCATAGATCAACAAAAAAGTATGTGACTAAATTGTATTTTTTCTACGGGACACTTCAGTTCCTGATGATATTTTTTATTTATTTATTCATTTTGAGATTTAAAAACTGTTATAATCCTTGTAAACTTAATATATTTAAGCACATATATCCTCTTCAAACTGGTACTTCCCGTTGTATATGCTTTTATTGTTCATATGATTGTTATCAACTCATTTGTGTACTCAATCCTTAATACAATCTGCATTTCACGTAGATTTTGTGTAATGGTCCTGGGACATGTATCCCCATATGCTTCGTGGCTATTTTACTCCACGTAAGATAAATATAATGATTTAATATATTATCACTTAATAATTGTGACACATCTTAATGAAAGTCATATTTCATGTTTCTGATTGCCGTATTATATCGAGTCCTTGAACTTACTTTCCATCTATGTACTTTGTGTTTTTATATTAAATCAAAAAGACTTGATTATTACAAGTTACTTTGAATCACTTTAATGATTGTCTATAACATGCACTTGTTATTTCTTGGATCTCTACGTTGTTGTGGTGGTGTTGATAACTACTGTAGATGACTCTGAGTATCTTACAGAAATACCCGTATCACGCGGATCTGGTCATCTTGGTAACCAGCTTTTAACAACCCTCATAGCTCTGTTATGAGTTGCCTCCAAATGCTGTGGTGCGACCAAGGGTGGGGAGAGTCAGTTCTCCATCTCAAAATGCTCTCATATGACCAAGCGTATACAGCTACTGCCAGGGAAGTCCTGCTCACTGCCTTCTCGCGGTGAGGTTGTTGTTTACGGAATCGAGTGGACGAAAAACCTGGTTGGTAGGTTCGTAGAATCCACTTAGGGGAGTTGGAAAACCCTGATCCCAAACCACTGGTGCACATGGGTTCCAGAATCCTGAGAGAACAAGGGGTATTCGAACCTATTGTCGGTCATCGGCTCCCATGGGACTTCATCTCCTAACGTTGCTCCACTGCCCTGTGGATTGGACCTCTAGGTGAAAGGCTCAGGAAGTGGCCTCCTAAAAACCCATCTGCTTCGGTTTGGGTACATGGGCAGTATTCCAGCTCTCACACAAATCGACTAACAAAATGTGGCTTATATATGTTTGGTGTCTCCTTGTACCAATGTTTATGTGTCTAAATAAATGAATAAACTGTCACGAGTTCGGTCATTCGAAATAATGGAGCTTAATCAAGTGATAAAATAGTCCCAGGCAGTTGGCAAGATGTTATTGTGTAAAACTTAATCATTCAAGAATAACAAGTCTCTACTGTTCTGAAATAATAAGAAATATTTAGGTTTTACCAAGTATTTTATAAAACCCAGTTAACTAGTACAATGTGTTTGTTCGTGTGCACTTTAATTGCTTTTAATGTTGGCATGTCATCCTTTTAGCAAAGGATGTGGTCCGTAAGCGGAGGACCTTCTGCGCTCTTGTGTCCCTGATTTTTGCACTTTCATCCTACTGTAAAAAGTTTTAAAATCGAGAGTTTACACTGATTTCATTCTCGCCCATAAAATGTATGTGATAAAAAACACTTAAGTAGGTTGTGCATGATATTCAACTTTTCTGCTTTTTTGATCAGAAAAGTTTTGGCCTACATAAAAGGTTCATATTCAGTAGGATTGTTGGTTTAGTTAAAGAGATTTTGAAATGCTACTTTCATTTTTATTTCTTAGCAATAAATTGTTCATACATGGAATAATTAACTAAGATCCAACTGGGAAGTCTGAATTTTCATACCTTATTAAAAGCCAAAATTGTTACTTGATGGTATCCATCCGTCTAATTTCATAGACTATATACACTGAGTTATATTCTGAAAACTGATTTAGTGAATCCAGTTAAATAACCATACTGCAGTTCATAATCCTTAATTTGAAATTACATTTATTAAATATGATAAATGTTATATATTTCCTAATAGTTTTACTTAGGGTGTTTGTCAAACAAATCTAGAAATGTAGTATCACGAAATACTTAATCACTTAAAATTGTAGTACATCAAAAGCACATAGAATAAGATAAAAAACTGGGGAATACAATGATACTATTTTGTGTTACCGTAGTCATTACTTCGTTCGTTTTCTTTTTCCTTTGATAACTTGGTGACTAGTGTCACTTGGTAGAGTAGTGATGTATTGACAGGCTTCTCATGAACCGTCCTATCCACACTAATCTTTTAAAGGAACCACCATAAACTCAGAATTCCAAACATCGTTTCAGTTTTTCTCACGTTTAATATACTGATCGTTAAAGGAAACTAATTTGCTTATGTGATTCTTTATATATTGTTTGCTGCTTTTCTCTTTTTGTCATCAACAGGTACTAAAAATCCATTCAACTCTTATAATTTTTGTTGAAAGTATTTGTCGTACCAAAACTTTATCATTATCTGGGAAGATTTTATACTATACTCGTTTAGTAGATGTAATTGTTCAGTGGCCAGAATTGAAGACAAAATATCCAAGATCAATTTACTTAGGACTTTTATCGTAAACTACTGCATCCAAACATCCTTGTTATATGACTTGCATCCAGAGCACTTTTCTTTTTATATTTATAATATGTGTTTTTTGTTCTATGTGATCATCGTTTGAGATTCGAAATACATTTTACATTTGGTTAAAATAATTATCACTGTTAGATCAAAAACGGGGAATGATTGTACACCTACAAACGAACTATTTTATTTCAAAAACGATAATTAAAGTTTTCTATACGTCTCGCTATTAGTTCGCTGAAAACAAAGTCCATTGTTTCAAGTATAGGAACGTTAGTAAATGGATAAAAATGCTTGTTTAAACAAGATGATGACTCTTTTAAACTGGTATTAAGGAATCATGTGACCGACAATAATTTGGAAACACCTAATAGACCCATTAAAAATTTAAACAACAGGGTTTTATTTCGAAACAATTTTCCAAAATGTTGAAGCATATAGAGAGAATAACACCAAGATTGTATAGTCTGGCTGAAATACATGAAAATATTTCTTGGCTCCTTAACCTGTTTTAGATATGAGTAATTTCGCCTATCATGCTACAGTTAAGTGATTAATATGAGTCTAAAAAATGTTGTGATAATGTAAATGGCTCCTTTGAACTTGTTGATAATGTAGTCAAAATAAGTTTTTGATATCATTAAATGTGACGTTTCTATTGACTAAACCCTTCCTCCTGGAAGCAGAATTTCCACTGAATTAATAGAGAAACAGAAAATTTAATCCTTGTTTTTGCAATGAACAACAACCTAATTTCCTTAGTTTATTCAGTCAGTTATAGAGTAATGCTTTCTTTTCTAAGATATTCCAAGTTACGACTTATTAAGTAGTTTCATTTTCGATTTATCAATTCAGTCACTATTGACTTCAGAGTTCTATTAAACCAATTTTTCACCAGAACAATATCTATTTCAAAAGGAGAATTGTAACACCGACTAGTATTACCATAAAATAACTCATTATAGTTACAAGTTAATAAAATAAAAGCTGTTACGTAAAGCACATTATCAGATGTTCAATTTTGTATTACGAAATTAAGAAAATCCCATCTAGACTAAAATTTAAAACGAATGACTTACGTTCGTTACCCCTCGTGGAGGAGCATAGGTTGCCCACCAGCTAAAACAAATGACGTATCTTACATATCAAGCTTTGATGATTTCGTACATTAAGGAACGGTATATTTTGGGATCGAGAATTGTAAGTTGTCTGCTGCTTAGTAGAGGATATCTTATTTTGCAAAAGATCTTTTAATATCACTCCGACTGAGCGTTTAGATCAGTAATTCTGTTTGATAACCTGTTATTAGTTACTCAGTGTAGCATCTATTGATTAGTACTATTTATAACACTAACAATCAAAACACGTCCAAAACCCTTTTAATAGCACAAACTTCATCCTGTTTATGAACAAACTTTTAATTCAACAAATTTATTTCCTATCCATGAAAGGTATAAAAGATTAAAAATACCTAGAATCATTTTGGCTGGTTTGTATGAATAATTCATCTAATTACTTATAATTATCTATAAGCTTAGTTGTATTTGATAAAACTCTGAAACAAAGAGCTAGTTCAAACAACTTTCGTGGATTGGCATAAAATAATTTTATATAAAAGTTTGAAAATTCATTGGGGAATTGTGGAATTTAATTTTAACTTTATTTCTGAAACAGAAATGAGTTCTATTTCAAAATGAAAAAAAATTGAAATAAATAGATAGATGTATAAAGAATGTATATTTTTGAGTTTTCCACTAACCGAGTACTTGTTTATGATATCACCTAGAAAACACTGTAAAATTACGCGGCACTGGATATCTGTTCCGTTCACAAGCCTCCCATTCAGGTAATAACTCTGAGCTTACCAGTGACTAACTTCAAGAAGAATTCGTAGCTCTAGTGTGAAGTTGTCAACGGTGAAGTTCAACTGTGGATTTAAGATGAATATCGTTAGTTACAATCGATGGCTTTCATGTAATATTGCTCAATAATTGAAGGTGCAGATCTGAATCATTGGGTTTCAACTCAAATGTCTAAAGATATTACGAGAACTGTGTGCCTCGCGTTCAGTTCGTAGCATTGTCTGGGATATGGATTGCTGAGGAGTCTTAAAGTTAGTGTGAAACTACTGTTTTCTAGCTCCCGCTATATCTCTAGCCAAATTCAGCTCGTGATGTGAAACATCTCCATACATTACAAACTTTCCACCAGTAATATGAGCATAGTGGTCTGATTCAATTACTCTTTTGTTACCTGCATATCTGTTATGCGTAGACATTTTATATATTGTATTATTTAAATATTCATGTTATAAATTAGTTATACTTTAGGCACTGAATAACACATGCGTTTCTTCCTTTCTGGGGCTCACCAGCTGGGTCTACTTTAATCCCAGTGTTGGTGTCCACAGTGAAACTCATCACTTATCGCTTCCGACACAGGGTTATACATTAGATTTCTCAATCACAATAACTACCAACTTATGTTAGCCACTACTGAAAAGACAGTCAATCTTCAAAATTAAGCGATATCAAAAAATGTATAACAAAGAAAAACCGACCAAATATAGTCTTGAATATCAGCGAAAAACGCAAATAATAAGTAGGCATAAATTTGTAAACCAGACAAACAAATTATAATTAGGAGTATTTGAATTATAGTACGAACTAAGAATCCCAGAAATAACGTAATCGGATCAAGAAGTACTAGATAAGCACGAACGAATGTATTGTATTTGGAATTCGAAATCAAGCATTCAACAAATACAAAGGAATCATTAGTTCATTCAAACACCACATCCGCCACAGCTTAAATTAGACTCTAAGTGTCTGTACCCGATTGTACGTCTTCTTCTTAAGTTCTTCCTGTGTCTGTCCGACATTGTATTGGATAAAAACTCTGTATTATATAGAATGTACTCATTAGTATTGGAATTAACAACCGAAATCGGGGCAGACTCACTTGGTTCCTGGGATTGTATACAATCGCCGTGTCGGTTATGTACCGAAACCACTATCTAGAATTTGAAGCACAGATTCCCCAACACTATCGTCCCCCACGAAATGACGTTGGATCTTTATATCCCCAAGTTATGAATGATGTGACTTCATTTAAAACATATTTCTCATATTGAATAGAGTAAACATTGGAAGTGACTTCGTGATAAGGATAAACAGCAGTTGATATGAAATCATTCGAATTGTAATCAAACTCGAGCTCATTTAGTACTTGTGCTTCGCACTGGACAAGTTTCCCACAAGAAACAAATGCATTATGAGGACAAATAATATTTGATAGAACATCAAGATTTGATTCTTCTGAAATAGTCTCCTCAAATTCATTAAGAGTGTCATTACAGAGTAAAGGATCATTAGAAAAATCAGCATCCATCAAAACTACATCAGGTTTTCGATCATGACTAGGTTCATTCAACATATTTTCCTCAGATTTGCAAGGAATTTCGTCAGAATTAAGTGAATCATTAGGAAAAACCATATCTGGTACAATGACATGAGAAATCTGATAAGTCAATTGATTAGAAACTGCTATTTCGCATGAATTCTGAGTTTCATTTAACTCTGAACTGCTATATGACTCTACACGGTCTTTTGAAATCGTTGATAAAGATAAATGATCATTATAAATACTCAACTTAATAGAATCAGAATTACAAGACTGAACATTAGTTGCAGCAAGATGTACAGTAGTATTACAAGCTGACTATGTCCAATATCACCACATTTAAAGCACTTAGAATTACGAAATTTACATGAATTAAAAGAGTAGAACCTGCCACAGGACAAGAATTGACTAAACTTGTGCTCATCTTCGTAAACTGCATTGCAACTTCTCAATGAATTATCTGCATAACCTTGAGTATGCACTGGGTTGGTATGACGTAATGCAGTGGAATTTTTTATATCCTCGTGAATCATTTTACGAGATCTTCCTCCTTTACCACATTCGAAATTTGTATACTGAACATAGTCTAGTAGTAGTTCCTTGAGAGCTGTGTAAGAAAGCAAAATGGGCTTTTCCGGTAAAGCCAGAGTTTTTAATAAAGCTACATGCTTCTTTTCCGATGAATGTGAGGAAATGTGCTACAATATTAACACCACAAATAAAGTGATCAACAGTTTCAACTAACAGGTTAGTATACACAGGTAGTGGGTGACTGTATGGGCTAAGTACTTAATTATTTAACAGCCGGTTTTTAGGAAATTTCAAATAAGTCCAACAAATAGTTTAATAACCAGGGACAATTAATGATCATTTTCAAGAGTTTGATAATTAGGAAAACCTTACAATATAGTAGATTACTTAGACTACTTATCGTTATATACAACTGTAAATTATAAAAACACCTGAGAAGTCATAATTGATGGAGTATTTAGAATAAAACACGTCAAATAAAGACGATAATCAGATTATAATGTATGACACATGAATACTAAATCTGTGCAGGTGATAGGGTAACAAGATAAAATAATAAATACTTGAATTCATTACTATGATCGCAAAAATATAATATGGTTGTTCGTAAAAAAACGAAATATTAACTTATATTGTTATAAATATATATTCAGTACAAACATGCTGTCATTATTTGTAGTTTGATCGGTGTTCCAAAACATAGCACTTAACCTTGTGATCCATTTTATCTGTGCGTCTACCTTCAAAAGATAAACTACATTTTCTGACATTCATAGTGTAGTTTATGCTAATTATGTTAACAGATATAAGTAATATGTAACATAGATCAAAACTAAAACCCCTATCAGAAGAAAGTTGAAGTGATTGAACTGAAGAAAATAGAAAAGGAGAACATGAAGGAATTGAGAATTAAAAAAAATTCATGAACAATGTAAAAAAAAATAAACAACTGATGGAAGCTTTGCAAATAAAGTATAAAATGTATCGTTTTCATCATTTCATAAAGTATTACTACTACTATCACTACTATCATCAGCTTTATTCAATATTATATTCTTTGTACAATATAGAATTCTCAGCGCACAGTATTTCAACAAGTTTCCGTTTCTTTCTTCTTGGTCGGTCCTGGCGATAGATATCGAGTGATCGCCAGTTAGATGTTAGCAGTTCAGTAAATGAACATCTGAATAATGTGCATCCTTTCCGTTGTATATTGTCAGCAACCACATTGTCTCTTATTGAGTTTTTTGTAACTTTGACAACAAAAGGTTGCACACTTTT